GGGTTCTCCACCTACGGACGGGGACTTCACCGCGCCGCCAATTTAGACGAACGAGAGGAGAAGAGACGACGGTGGTGGGCAGAGAGCAGAGGCCTGATGAGCTGTTAGAACACACACACACACACACCACTATGAGGTCTCCCATGTCAGTAGGTCTATTAGTGGCAGTTTTCACGTACGTTTCCTCGACTCGTTTCCTCGACTCGTTTTGTTTATTTCCTCGATTGATTATTGATTAAACGGTCAGTTGTTTTCTGGACATTACTGACTTTTATTGAAGTCAGAATTTAAAAAATGTCCTTGAGGAAAAAAAAGTATTTTAAAAAGCTTAAAATACTGTGGGTGTATTGTATTAATTACAATTAAAAGTAATTATTTTATTGCACATTATGAGTTAGCTTTTTTTAGCCATCTTGGCTAACATTTAGTATTTTTTCTATATATTTTGTTATTTTGTATAAGATTTAAAAAAATTACCAAAATTAATTTAATCACATGATTAACAAAATTACCCAAAAATGTGCAGCCCACAGTCCAAGTCCCACGTCCTGCAGCAGTAGGACTTGGACTTTTTCCTCCATCCTTCCACTACCTTCAGTGACTCTCCGGTTTCTTCCTGCTGCTCAGCCGCACAAAGAAAACGTTGACACCGCAGGATATCAGTCATTCAGTTCACTTACAAGTTGGTGACTAATCGGTAATCAATCAGTGGGAACATACTTTAAAGAAATGTTCAGCAAGGTCATAAAAGGGAGTCACGAGAGTGTGGGGTTGGTATCTGGTGGCAAAAAAAAAAAAAAAGAAAATTCCCAGTGAAAAAAAAAGGCCACTTCAGAAGAGGGACATTAAAGGAGCCACCAGGCCTTATCTTTAAAAGTGTGCCCTCCGAGGGAAAAGAAGGGAAATGAACGAGAGAATAAAAGACGAGAAAGGTTTGGGCCCGAAAAAAATGGAGGCACAGAAAGAATGGAAGAGTTGAGACGAGAAGGAAATACAGAGAGGGGGGGGTCAGTGGGGGAGGGGGGTTGAAAAGTAATAAATGAAATAAAAAACGTAAAACTCAAATTGACACCCGCTTCGCTCTTGCTGACTGGGTAGAGCAGATAAGTGAGCTAAATTGCACAGATCTGATGTCTATCTTATCGTCTGCACCGAGACGCGGGCGATAAGGCGACGTGGCGACGTGTCACGGTGACTTTGTGTTTGTGGGTGTTAAAATACGAACAGCGGGGTGTGCTTTTGAACAAGGTGGTGACGAGCGACGAGGGTGGTGGAGGTATGGGGGACTAAAAAAAAAAACTTGAGCTCTACACAGAGTTTTACTGTAAAACAGGAACCTATGGTTGACGACGAGAGACCAAAGAGAAACTGTGTTTTTTTTCCCTCCTCCTCCTTATCATGTTTTTTCCCCCAAAGCCATTTTACAAGACAAGTACAGGGGGAAGGGACGCTCCATTGTTTGCTTATATGAAAATCCCCCCCCATCACACCCCCGACACCACTCCCAGTGTGAGAGGAGAGTCACTGTGGTCCAAATACTGTACTTATCCTATTACTGAAATGGGTGGGGGTGCAGGGAAAGATAAGAGCCCCCCCCCCTCCCGTCCGCTGTGCTGAATTAGAGGACGGGCGCGCTCTGTAGGCGACGTCGACTTTTATTGGCATCTCTCTGCATATCTGCATATGCATAGGAAATCAGAAAGAGCTGGGGATTCTGGGAATATAATAAGAACGATTCTGAGGATGGGAAGGAAAATGAGAAAGTTAAAAAGGTTTTTGTTTGGAATCTGATCAGACACGATAAGTGCGGAGGACGCTGCTCTGTTCGGTCGCCCACCTGGTGCGACTCCTGCACAGGGAGGAGGATAAACGCAAGCTTTTTTCCGCGGTTAAAGAGCCCTCCTCCCCCGTCTTCCTCCCCCGTCTTCCTCCACCACCTTAACTCATCCCGCCCTCTGAAACAGGGGCAAGAAGTTGTCAAGATCCTCAACCTTTGAGCCGAGCCCTTCAAACACGGGAGGCAGCCCATTCCGCGCTGAGGATATCAATTATAGATAGGGGTTACCACCGCAGCTGAGGATTGCAATGTCAAGACGGCGAGTCGACAGCTGTGGAGAGCTGAGGATCTTTCTATCAGATGTGTGCTGATGTGTTTTTCATGTGTGTGTCTTTGTGTGTGTGTATGAGTGCACTCCAGCATCCCTTGTTCACAGCATCATATTGGTGGATTTTTCACCATTTTTCCACAAAGTCCACAGGCCCGATCACAGCAGCCCAGCTAATAGCCTGAGTGGAAGTAGCCGCGGTCGGGGGTGCAGCGAGGAGTGAAACCACCATAATGTCATTAATATTTAGCTTAACAGTGACCCCTCGGGCGCCGTATGATGAGAGCCATCCATCTCCCGGCCTGTGTGAGAGTTCTGATAAGAGGCCAGGAGGAGGAGGAGGAGGAGGAGGAGGAGGAGGAAGGCCGGTCCAGTGGAGTCCACAGAAGCTCCCGTCCTGACTCTGGGAGGCTTAAGCCACCAAATCAGTTAGCAGCGTTCAACTGTGAGATGTGCTCTGCAGCTTTTGAGCCCATTACCACCGTCCCCGGATCCAATTGGGAATCCGGAGCCGGTATCAGTCAATGCCCTGCTGCTCCAACTCCGCTGCGGGCTGCTGCTGCACAGACGGACAGGCAGGGGTTGTGTCCTGACAGGAGGTATTGTCCGGCGGAGAGCAGCTGCTGTTGATGTTGCAAGTGTGAAAACACTCGCAGCCAAAGCGAGTGAAACATATTGTTGCCTTGGCGTCTGTTGCTGCACAGGGAGACGGGAGGGTTTTTTTTTTTTTTTTTTTTTTTCTTGACGAAAGAATTCAAAAAACCGTTTGT